GCTTCATGCTACAGAAACCGGGATAAGCTCCGGCCTGATGGGCCACTTGGCTCGCATGCAGACTTTACCTTTACCTTTACCTATCAAACGGCCGGCCCCCTTTAAGCGGCCACTATCCATTTCCCCGAGGGTGGCCGTCTTATAGGGGTTGAACTGTAACTTTTCAAGAAAAAGAGCTTTCGTTAATCAAACACAATTTTCTGACTTTCAAAGTCCAAGCTAGTGTTTTGAAGTTCGAGTTTTATAAGAGGAATATTTCAGCGCCTCCTAGGTTGTAGCCAAAAGGAATAAAGTTCAACAAAGTTTTAGGACTACAATGTATTCTTTTGATGATAAGCGGTACGCTCTCTTAAGAACTCTAAGCTTATTAACGTATTGGTCGTTTTGTCGTATTGACAGGCTCGCATGGAAGCTCGTTCAGCCAAGAGGCGCCGTCAAGTTGATCAGCTGTACGAGTTGTGGGATGTGAACGCTTCTGGTTATCTGGAGGTAGAAGAAATTCACGTTGTGTTGAACAAATGGCGCTCTGATGGAATCGACAACTTCAAAGAAGGTGCGAGTTGCCAGTTTATCTTCAACTGACTAAAATTACGAAACTTAATCGTCGATACTGGCCAAGTCTTGAATTGACCTAGGCCGGCGTCTGACTTCAGTTTCTGTAGCATGAAGCGGCTAGGAATAATTGCTACCCCCTTCCCTCTTGGATGGGATGTTAGTCCACCGCAGAATGCAATCCCCCTCCAGTCCCCCACATTATGTCTCTTGTTGAGTTACCTTTCCCCAAGTATTTTTCCAGCTTTCCCAATAAAATTCCAGATACCAGTTTTGAGGCCTATTGCGATCAATTGCCGTGGGCTGTGCTCTAACGTTTCGATCTTAAAAGGATGTTAATGTTCTATTTGTTGTTGTAAAATTTCAGCTCTGAAGGTATTTGGTCAGGTGAACAGCACACTTAACAAGCGTACTTTCCGTGAGTGCATTGATGCCATAGTGAAGTCTTTTCCACAGGAGGACGTGTTTGAGTCACTGATTCACTTTCTCACCACAAGCGTGGAGGTAAGGTTTGATACCGTAGTAAGCCCGTATTGCATTTCCTCTATCCGTTCTGTTGGAACGAACCGAATTGTATTGTTGGAGTCAATTTATTCAAAGCTTTTTTGGTTTTCTGCTAGAAAAGGTTTAGTTCGTATAGTGTGATCGTCCGGGTGTGGGTAGTTCTGAAAAAACTGCATGTTGTTGGTGACTGACGTTTCGCCACCCTGGCGGAAGTCATCTTCAGAGTCAAGTTTAGTAAGTTTGGAGGAAATTGGGTGAAATAATGTACATTTTCTACAGGAAAGAGTTGTTCAATTCGGAAGTTTCAACAAAATCAAACGTCTCAAGCAGGGTGAAAAACGATGATAAAGAAGATAAAACGAAAAAGGTTCATTTCAAAGATGGACCAAATTCAACTGTTGAAGTCGACCCATGACAGATATGTCCAGGGGTGAACGCTAATGAGATTCGAATTCCTTATGATATGCATCACAAAGTGTCCTCATTGATAACAAGTCACCAAAACACACACAATTTTGTCAAATATGAAGTAATATGACGTAATAATATAAAGTAATAACCCATGATGGCGGAGTTTTCCTAAACTTCTACTCAACCTATGATAGAATCTGAGTCAGAGTCTATCATAGGTTGAGTAGACGTTTAGGATTTTAATCAGGATTTGACAAAATGGTCCTCTTGTCTCCGCATGCACCTTCATTAAGCAGTTTTAAATCCTATCTATTAGATCATTTGTGTCAATTTTAAATTAGGTGTAACTCGTGAGTGACATGTATGCAATTTAATTTGGTTAGCTTTGGGCTGTATTGAAATCTTATTTCGTAATTTTATAGTGTCAATTTTAGTACGCAGTTTAATTAAGCTAGTTTTGGGCCGCACTTAAATTGTAAATTTCACTTCTTAATTTTTTTAGAATGTTTAATATCGGAGAATATTCTTTGTAAGGGAATTTAGTTTCCCCCAGTTATTCTCCAGTCATGTACTTTTTGTAATTTCTGTGATTTATTTACTTGTACTAGTATGACAAAGTATTATTAAACTTAAACTTAAATGTGAACTTTGATGGGTTCATTGGGTGTGGAGAGAGAATTTTATAGCGTTGCAAAAATCGTGTTTACGACAAACATTTTGATTATCTGGCTGCGGTACGTGTATCGGCAACAAATAATTCATCCAGGTCTCGATCTCGTTTTTCTGACAAGATCTCTGCACTCATTTCCACAGCGGTCTTTCGAAGAGCGCAGGCGCGGTGATGCACGAAAGCGATGGATGACGATGATCGATGCTGCTGCGCAGACCGGCGGCGCGCAACTAGATCCAGTCTACCGCGCGGTATACCATGTTCTCTTCAAAGACGCGGAAGAACATGGACGAGGAAAGATCGTGAGTTCTTCAGTTTGCATGCTCGAAAACAATGACGACGTGAACCAGCTGCATCGTGGAGAGACATTGTTGCGCTACGTGTCCTGCACAGTAGACGATATTCCGCACGTGCTGGGGAAGGTTTTGTACAGGGACGTGAAAACTTTAAGCTGGACTGCCGTGGACTCTGGGAAACCCATTCACGTGCCTAAGGTGGCGACCCACTCTGGGGTGACAATTTGGAATCCTAACCGAAGAGAAGAGGTAAGAATTGAGAGCTTTAGGATTTGAGATCGAAGGCTGATAAGTCTGACCACATCAAAGGAGTACTCTGCTTTAGCTCATGTTTATTTCAGTCTTTCCTCACAAACATGAAATTTTATCCAGCGTCCACACTACGCCGTGGGAGGCGCGATGGCCGCATGGTTAGTGCGTTCGCCTTCGTAACGAACGGGTTGGGTTCGAGCCCTGGCTGAGGACATTTTGTTGTGTTCTTGAACAAGACACTTCACTCTCACAGTGCCTCTCTCCACCCAGGTGTATAAATGGTACCGGCAAACTTAATGCTGGGGGTAACGCTGCGATGGACTAGCATCCCATCCAGGGGGGAGTAGAAATACTCCTAGTCACTTCATGCTACAGAAACCGGGATAAGCTCCGGCCTGGTGGGGCCACTTGGCTCGTATGCAGACTTTACCTACCACAATACGCCGGAGGAATTTGAAAACACAGCTTTATTTCTACGGTTAGACCTACCGTCCACACTAATCCGCCACGAAGACGGAGCTTTTCAAAAACGCTCTTCAAACCGGAGAGATTTGATTTTTTGAAAACGAAGCTTTCGAAAACGACGACGTCACGCTTTTTCCTCAAACACAAATCCAAAATGACCGTTGATTGAGCATGCGTTTTTAAATTCCTCCGGCGTGCTGTGGGCGGAAAACATTTGATGCATTTTCATAGTGAAACCTCCGTTTTCAAATTCCTCTGGCGTAGTTTGGAACGGGCCTTGAAGAAACACGGAAACGGAGAAACTTTTTTCGTCTGTAAGCAGTTACCTAAGCGATATCACGTCATTTTGCTCACGGTTCTTGAAAACTTGGGACCATTTGCTATCGTAATGACTGTTCTCTTATTCGTCATCTCTCTCAGGGAGGAGACGGTTCGTTCATCGCTCTGCCTCTAAAAGATCACGAGCGGCGAGTGATCGGCATCCTTGGTGTTGACACACTGGCAGATCCTCACAAACCCGTTTTTATCACGCATGAGATCAGCTTCTTCCAAGGCGTGGCCAAGGCCTTGAGTCAAGCCATCCAGTTTGTGGACATCCGTCGGAAAACGCTCAGAGTTGCTGAGTCAGCAGTTTCCTGGATTTTGCGGCGCAGTCCTAATGTACAGAATGTCAATGTCTATATGGTGGAGCCTGGATTGAAGGTAAAGGATTTTTTCTGGTCAGAAATAGGCCGAATAGTACGAAATTCCAACATTCGTCCCGCGTTAAGGGGCCCTTTTGCACGACCTGGTAGTGCTACGAAATCAGTCACGCTCGGACGCAAGTTGGATATAGTGGGACTTCCAAAACAAAGGAAAGTCAATCGATTGGTGCCACTTGCATCCTAACATGGCTGATTTTGTACCATTTGACCGGGTTGTGTGAAACGCTTATAACCCCTTAGCCAATAGAAATTAATGCTTTCCGGGTGGTTTTTGAAAATTGGTGGCTTAATTAAGGTTTACAAGTAATTCTATAACCACGACTTGGTGAGCATAAAGTGTTTAAATATCACCTTGACATGTGTAACAACAAGCGTGACTGTTTGTTCAACTCGGCTTTGCAAACGCTATCTAAACTTTTGTTTTTCATTATTTAATTTCCCTTGTTGTTTTGTCGTTAGCCTACTGACGGGTTAGTTCTTCGCCGAATGATGACTTTGGCTCACAACGGGGTTAGTCAGCACTATACAAATCCACCAAGACTGGATAGAAGAGACAATCTCTTCAGGTGAGAAGAAAATAAGTGAACTAACATTACTTATAAAGAAATATTTATACTCATGGCTGAGTAAGAGGAACATGTTCCTGTTTGGTCAGATGTGAAGAAAACAGTTGTCCATCTATTGAGCAAATTTTCTTACGTATTATTTTCAGAGACTACTTGTTCAAATGTGTAGAGAGCTCAGAGACCATCACTGCAGATGCGTACGGCGAGCGTCACATGGCCTTTCCCCTCAGGGATGGGGAAGGGAGAGCTGTTGCTGTGGTTGACATTAGCATTGGTGACCTCAAAGCTCTTCCACCGCACGAGAACAAGGAGATACAGCGCATGCTCAAACTGCTGGCCAAGGCGCATAGAGAGGTAGCGCGAGAGATCACAGGCGGAGCCGAGAAAAACATTGTGTTGGGTGAGTTGACGTTTCATTAAAACCGCAGCATTTTTAGTGACTATCAGAGTGAGAATAGCCTCTGTACCTCTCGAAAATTCGTGCCCATGACTGATTTCTTTTTCTGTTGTTCGTGCTCATTTACTCTATAGGATGTAGCACCTACGTTCGTCATTACTTAATAATTATCATTAACTGATTGCTTTTTGGGTATGTAGAGGTGGAGAAGGAGTACGAAGATGCTCGAATTGACGTGCTGTTTGACCGCCTTATGCTGCTGGACCTGAGAGAGAACGTGGGAAGGCTGGACGCCAGGTAATTTACTTATTCAAATTTTTATATAGTTTAATTTCCTTCGATGACACTTTCAATATTACCGCTACGTTTCTAAAGGTAGTTGCTTTGGTTACGAGTTTTTGTGCTCTGCTATAGGTTGAAATTCCCATACAAGGTGCTCAACCAATCAAAGACAACAGATATATTTGCAGCCAATTTGATCGAAACTTATACAAATCTCGTAATTTTTCCCGCGCTTGCCGCGTGTAGAGTTTTTGCATGTCAGTTATTGGTTTATTTTGCGATTGCCGCCAAAGTGATCGTGTGGCTCTGGGATTGCCATGGTGTTAGTTTAATGACATTCCTTAGAAGACAGTAATCTAGTGTAAACGCGACTTTATTGAAATTTGCAGAGCCTTTGCCGAGATCAAGAGCTATAAGGATCCGCCTAAAGTGATTCACGATATCCTGAAAGCCGTGTTAGGGATCTTCTACACGGATCGACAGCAACAGGAGAAGTTCAACGAGTGGAGTATGTGTAAACAGATGGTTAATCCTGACCTGGTTAAGCTTATAACGTCCTACGATCCCACAGCGAAGAAGAATTCTATCGGTGTAGACGCTAAGTCGTTAGCTGGAAAGCTTCAGGGTAAGTAGTGCCCTTCCTTTTCTTTGTTTTTCATGAGTTTTATA